TCCCATACCGACACCTTCATCGCCTTGGCAGCTCCTGACTCTTCTCTCCATGTTCACAACAAACAGGATAGGTGAAAGGACGCAGACTTGGCGAGACCAGTGCGAACGTTGAATGGTTTCGACGTAACGCCATTAACTCCGACAAAGCACCTGCTATCAGAATACAATGATTGGATGGCCCTTAGCAACTTGCCATCAATCCCGTATGCGCGAAGGCATGTCCACAGGCTGTTGCGTGGGATCCGGTCATACGCTTTCTCTAGGTCCACAAAACACATGTACACCGGCTGGGCGTACTGCCACTGATTTCTCAACACTCTGGCGCAGGGCAAATATATGGTCGGAAGTGCTTCGACCGGGCCTGAAGCTACATTGCTCTTCCTGGATCCTGAGGTCAATAATTCACGGCACCTCCTTTCTAGTGCCTTTGCGTAAACTTTACCTGGGAGGCTCAGTAACGTTGTGCCCCTATAATTTGAGCATTCCTTGTGGTCTCCCTTCTTGAATACGGGTACAATAACTCCCGTTCTACAGTCCGCTGGTGTCCTTCCCGCAGTCATCGCAGTTTGATAGACATGTGTTAGCCAGCACATGCCTTGTTCGCCTAATGCCTTGAGCATCTCAGGGCGGATTTCATCAATTCCGGCAGCTTTTCCATAATTCAGGCCTTCCTCAGCTTGTGTAATTTCATGTACAATAGCAATATCCATTCTCTGCCGCTCTACATGTGGGTGTTCCTGCGGTTGCGCGGGGTTAAAAGTTCCTCAAGGTTCTCTCTCCATCGCTGATAAATGTCATTATCCTTGGTAAGAGGGTGTCCAGACCTGTCCTTCAAGACTTTGAGACTGCCTTTCTTTTCATCCGGGAGCCGGTGGCTGGTCTGCCAGAATACGTTGTTTGCTGTGTGGAAATTCGACTCCAACACCTCAGCGAACTTCTCACAGGAATCAGCTTTGACTTTCGCCACAGTGGACATCTGTTAAAGAAAACACAGTAGTAAAGGATGTGCGTTTTATTTACTTTTAATCAAAAATCAAAGGGTGCGGGATCACCACTGAATTCCGAACAAGATCCATAGCTGTCATGCATTTTGAATTGGCAAAAGCCTCTGAGGTAAGTCAAACTCGCGCAGTTAACCCCATCTGAATTGATAACGTGATTAGGGAATTAACGGGCAAATTCAACGGTATTAACCTTGTTGTAATGTATCACGCGCGAGCAAAATTACTTGTGAAACGTCACAAGCGTTCAGAGCTGCAAACATTATACGATATTATCAGCTATGTAGCTGATTTCTTTGCCTATGGTTGAGAATATCAAACAAAACCATTCAAAGATAATAAAAGCTTTTTATTGCTGGGCACCACTGATATGGCCGGAAAGCCTCTAAGCAGCTAGATTTCTAAGATATGATCGTGATTAAACGTTACCTCTTCATTTTACTGTACTAATTCGCAAACGCTACCTGAGGAAGCACTATAGTGTCTGATCTAAATTGATATCGATCACGTCGAAATGGCTAACAACGAATTAAACTCCAGGAGAACTCTTCATGTATACACGAACATGGAGAGTCAACACGTGCCCCACATAAAGTGAATGATAGGATGTATGTCCGGAATTGTTCGTCTGAACTGCTTGAACTTGAGTTCATCTCACGTTATAAGCCCATGCCGTTGCAACTTAACATTTATATGCGAAACATTCAAAATGCATCAAGAACATCCATAAACCTCAAACCAAAATAGACCTCGTTGTCTAAAAGGGTGGGAAGGCAACTACTCCAAATCTGACCCTCTGTACAGGCGGCTCCTGGACCATTTCGGTCCTCCTGTTTACGTCATCGATCTGCTTACCTTATCTGTGATAAGTCCTCCGAAGAATACATTGCTGACGGGCTTCACTAGTCCCCATGTAATACACCCATTTTAGCACGGCAAATGCTTTAAACACAAACTGAATTTCCTTTACATTGAGTTTCGAATCTAACCCCGAAGTTTCCGATCTTAAAACTGGATGAGAAGGAAGAGATTTGGCCACCGCGGCGAGTTCTCCTGTAAAACTCAGCCAACTGTTCCTCATGATATTACCATAATCGAACTCCATATCGGCTAAGTTGTCACTCGGGCTACCAAAGGCTACACAGGCTGATGAAAAAACTAAGGCGACTGTAAATAATCGGCGATCGAAATCTGCATCACACCTTCTGGCTTCAGGGGCGCAGCAGTTCGACAAGGCGACAATTACCAAAAATTGACAAGATTAAACTAAGTTACCTGTCAGAAACGGAGCTCTACCGGTTCTGAACGGAGGAACCAGACGGCGCGATGCTGTTGCAGCATGTCGAGTAAACTTTCATGGAAACGATACCGAGAGTGGGAACTTGCA